TGTTACCACTACTGACAGTTATAGAAATTGCAAGACACTGCACTGAAGAAATGGGAAATATACATAAAAACATTATGTGAAATCTGTGCATTTGTACCTCTGTGATCCAGGGCTCAGCTAATGCTTCATCTGATTGCATCTTCTATCTTTCATAACCCATGACTGAAAGGTTGTTGTACTGCAACAACCTGAACTGACCAGCCAGATCTAAACGAAAATGCTGTTTAACACTGATTTAATGTAGGTACCAGTTTGAGTTTGACAAGGCACAGTGAACATGTCTTTCAAACAAAGCTAAATACAAATACATTGTCTGAGGTGAGACTCTTTTCTCTCTCCACAGCACAGGGGCCCTGCTGAGAAACTGTCCATTGGTTATTACACCCCATTTAAAACACAGACACTGACCCATAGTCGGCTAAGTGGAAACAGACAAAGGGTATCGATTGGATTGGAACAATGGAGCCTCTTGAGAGATTCAACATCTTTACAGGGAGCACGCCTGGCTGACTTGATTTGTGAAAGCTGTGCATTGACTTCTGGAGGTTATGCACTGCTGTTATTCCCTTTTACTCTGCAAAACACTGTAAGACTTGTCTTACTGCATGTTATTCTTGTGGGAGGGAATTGAAACTGCACAAAATGTGATGTAACACATGTGAATTCCTACACTGAACCAGAACATTTGGAATTGTGTTTGTGGATGATAAGCATAAGCTTCTGTGGATGCTGTGGATATTAACAATAGAAATAACTTTTATATAATTTAAGATTTCATTTATACATTTTTCACAGAAGATGATGGGGTATGGAAATTGCTATCTCAAGCAGCAACTTTACAGCAGAAATTAACATGTTTACAGCCTGGTACAAAAAAAACAGTTTGGGTCTCTATAACTAATTTCGCCCCTTCATGACAAGTGTACAGGGTTCAATTTTTATACTATATTACTCACCTGTTTAAATTTTATCAAGGCTTAAAGGAAATTGAGGCGTGGCCGCTTTAAGTGATAGATGGGTGTCATCACAGTCTGTTAGCTGTCTACTAGGAGTCACCTCAGCTAATTTGAGTCAATGAATATGTCCTCTTGGCATGTTTGTGCTTTTTGGAGGATTTTTCATGCAAATACCGAAGAAATAATATGGTTGGCTGTGCGGTTAATTGACTAACACAATATGAGGAAGTCTGAGCTCCTGTTTTTGAAGTGAGTGCAATACTAGTATTATTTTATTTATTTGTTAGCACTAATTAGCAGATTTCAGTATTTGCACTCTGCATACCTGGCTTGTTAGCTTAGCTCGTTAACTAGCTAATTAGATGGAACTGGCGGTGCCAGGAGAGGCGGAGTCAGGCACTGCCAAGATGGTGACGGCAAAGCAGCCCACTCGGAGCTTCAAAACCACTCTTCAGAAGCCATATGGGTGACATCCTGGAGGCTACGTCCATTTTTATTTATAGTCTTTGGGCAAAACACAGCGCTAACAATACTCTAGGCATCAAATCAGCAGTTGGAAAACACCTTTAAAGTATAGTTCTTTGCTGTTGGTAGAAATGTTTTGATACTGTACATGACACCATTTTGTCAGTAGCTGGAAAAGGAAGATGTTTTAATAAAGAAATACACATTTTGTTTAGCTGTGTACAGTCTTGACTAAATCATCTCTTTGTAAATTTCTATCAAACTTCATTCATTCTACAAACTTAGAGTGAAGAGCTAAAGATGTTGCTTGCCTCAGGAGGCCGATGAACCCCCTTGACTCCTCACTTAATTGCTTTGCAAAATCTTGTCATGTGAGTGAATCACACTGTCACTGCAGTTGCCTGGCAGCAGAGGAAGGCACCCAGGAGTCTCTTGGGATGACTGCTGCAGGGGTGCACAACGCGGGCTGAAGTCATCCTGCTGTGAGATGTATTTTTACCCAAAAGTTTGGATGCAGTTAAATTTTGTTTGTTTGTCAATGTGCTTCAATTTCTTTCTTGCTCTCTTTCATTCGCCCATTTTTCACCTTGGTTTTAAAATACAACCCTCCATTTTTCCAGTCCTCTCTGCTAAAAATCCATGCATGTCTGCTTCCCTGTTTCTTTCATTGCCTTTGATGGCCTTTGATGAACTCGGTGGAGCAGTTAGAAAAAAGCCCCTTTGAAATCTCAGGGGTCAACTCATCATAATCATGCCTACTCAAGCTGACAAAGGCAGATGAGGGAAAGCTTTGAAATTTCCTTTGTTCTCCACTGTCAGGCCAGACAAGAGTGAATCCAGTAGGCCACGGCGCAGCTTTCCTCACAAGCTGGGAGAAACATCGGAGCCAATTTGAGGCCAAGTCAATCAGCACAGTAACAGAGGGAGTGCTGGACTGTTGTTGATAATCTCCCCAGAGAATGTGCTCTATCATGCCTTTGGTTCATTAATTCTCCAACCAATTGTAGTCCAGCCTCAAAGTTCAGCTCATTTATGTTGGTGTGTGTGAGTTATCATTAAAGCCAAAAGATCCCTGACAACAGTGCCCATTAAAGACCCCCAACAACCTGCCTCATCTACAGCAAGGGAAGCTGTTTCACTCCATTGTCAGCCAGCACAATGAGAATCACAATGTCAGGTCATATTATGTACTCCACGAAAGGGCCTTTTAAGGGCTACAAGAAAACGAATGAACATATGTTGAATTATTCAGTTAAGGAACAGACACAACATTAACCTGAAATCTTCAAAATGTTGTTAAAAATTACATTGAATGCTTAAATGGGCAATGCTCAAAATCCTTTAATATAAAATCTTTTCATAAAATCCTTAAAATGTACTCATCAGAATGAGTTTTCCCACAGTAATTAAGCCTCAAAAACTTTAATGAATACAAGGATATGTGGGAGGAATGACTTCATGTAACTAGCCCCTTTGGGATTATATCTCATAATGATGGAAAATGAGAAATTGCAATTTTATTTTAATTTCAAATTTCAAAAAAGTTATTTACAGATTAATTTTTTTAAATTAGCTTTTACAAAAACTGTGTTGAATACTCATACTGATCGTAGATGTATTTCTCAATATTTACCAACAGTTCTCACTTTGTTTGTGGATGTATGGCCTAGAGTCTGATACCTTTTTATTTTTATCTTCACAGGCATTTCACTTGAATTTGGAATTATTTTCAGACATGTTAGCAGGGCAGCTCAAGTTATGGCAATATTGGTCTACAAGGTGGTCGGCCCACTTCTTTGGTCTCAGCAACTGATAGATGTAAATTTTGCACAGACATGTTTGGTCATGTTGTGGTTTTCACTGAAATCTTCTGACAGTTATTGAATGGATTGCAATGAATTTGTTTCATGTCCCCCTCAGGATAAACTGTAAATACTTTGGTGATTCATTCACTTTTCATATATCAGATCAAAAGGTTTGCCTGTGTCTACAAATCGTCTTTGTATCAATTTGTATGTTGAAAATTTGGATCCATTTGGGGCATCACATAGGACACAGTTCCCAACTGATCAAATAAACTGAATTTGGCAGTTTGTACAAACAAACAAATGCTTTCATAAAAGTGAAATGTATCAATAGAAAATTCTTGATAACAAATTGTGCTTTGAGACCTGTCATGTATTTTGAAAGCTATTTCATTTCAGAGGCACTGATTGTGGAGCCCAACAAAGCCGTTGAGTCATGAAGCCCGCATTCTTTCAAGAATTAACCTCTGTTGTTGTCGTATCAGTCAATCTGTCAATCAGTTCATTGTCAAATTCTTCAATTATACCAATACCAATTCATTTCCAACATTTCATCTTGTGATTGAGTATGCAATCAGAAATATAGACGTAGGACTACCAACTGACAGGACTAATTTTGCCCAAGGACAAAGATGAAGGTTGATTCTCAAAGGAAAATCCATGGTCACTTGTGTGCAGTGTGGAAATGCCAGATGACAATGTGACCTCCCCCCATCTGCCTCAGATAGCCACAAGAAAATACATCACTGCATATCAATTACACATGGGAACAATGTAGCACCACAGAAAGTTAGGCATGGAGACCACACAACTTACTGTGTGAACCAAAAACAAAAAGACCAACATTCAAACAACAACACATTTCAACAATTTATTCTCCATTTAAGACGCCATTAAGTCATATGTTAACCATTTAATGTACACTGGGCTGGAATCACACAGAAGCTGTGGATGGCAGTATCATTTCAATGAACACAGATCAATTATGTAACTGAACTTCAGTGAGATAAGGCCTTGAATCATCACTCCTCTCTAAGGCCTTAACCACTGCTGGGCCTGTTTGTCTGGGCTGCTATAAGTTCACAGGAACCCACAGGCATACCCACATGGCCTTGTTTTCACTGTTGTTCAGTCATGTGGGTATTGTGGGTCTCATCACCCTTTTCCAGTCCAGCCCAAATTTCCTTGAGGTTATTGCAGTTATCATCAAGTCTCTGTTTTTGACATTTGTCTTGCTCACTTTGCAGGAGATCTGTTGTGGATGCAAAAGAGGAATACTACTACTTCTACTATCCTGGTTTGCCATCTGCAGGCAATATCACATTACTGCAGATGTATGAATCAACACTACTGGATTCTATACTATTACATGGATGATAATGATGAATAAAGACAGATGTGAGGACAAGTATTGGATAAAGAAAGGAGAAAAGCAAAGAAAAAAAACATTGTTTAAAATGGGAAAGGATCTAAATAAACAGAATAAAAGCAGTGACACTGTGAGTCTACTTTCATGGTTTCTAACAAGTAATGCTCTTCAGTTTCACACTCACAGTAGTTTAGATGAAACAATTATCCCATGCTGTGCTGTATTGTCTTAATGAGCTGCTGCTCACTTTGTCCTGAGTATGGCCAGATGGCCAAACCACCACCAAGGTTTAATCACAGCAATGTAATGACCCGTACATACCAGTGGAGGGCGCGCGCCTCCGGTTACACTACCGGAAGTTGCAGATTCCAGTTTGACTTGTGTTTACATCCCAGCTGATCTGCCTCTGCTCCCCAAAACTTCAGATATGAACGTGGTCGACGGTAGTAAGCATGCTGTGGATTTGAGCCATGGTCTGGAAAACGTTCCCGTTTTAATTGAAAGGAGTTCATCAGTGCCGATATTTCCTGAATTTCAGGTAACATTAATGTAGCATCTCTTTCTACAGCTGAACCCGTTTACAGTCTTATGGTAGCTTAAATGTTAGTTAACATTTCGGTCTCGTTGTAGCGAAACCCTTAGTTTTAGAGCAGTGGTGCTTGAAGTTATTTAAGTGCTATAAAGTAACGTTATATTAGCTACATTGTTTTAAAAAGTTGAGGTAGCTGATAGAGTTGATCCATATTGTTATGTGTTCGAGGTGAAATGACAAACTGCAACAAAAACAGAAAAAAATAGTTGTTTATCCAATAGGCCTTTTTCACGGCAGACACAGAAAAACACAGGTGTTACTAATTATTTATTAAAAATGGCTCTGTTCTATTCAAGTGTCTCAGTAAGACATAACAAGTGAGACAGGGAGCCAACATGAACAATGGCAGGACCCTGAAGAACAGCGAATTGCCATTCGACCATCAATAATTTTACACCTGACATGTCAGACTGTCTCTATAGAAAGGCCTATTTATTTCATTGTGTTATTGTATTAGACTGCATTAGTTTCATATCATTAATGGACAATTTAAAAATTGTGATACTGATACTTTGATTCCTGGGAAACTTTAAAAAAAACATTAAGCATAAGCAGACCGCTTGTTGTTTTTTAAAGCACTGTGACAACAATAGGTAGAGTGTGTGAAACTTTGTCAAAATTAATTATTAAAATAACAACTTGTGATTGGTGGACAGCAAGAAATGGGAACTCAGTATTGTTTCTGCCTCAAACATATTTTTGGCAATTATGTGCTACAATTTCCTTATCTATCAACATAATATAATAACAACATATAACAAATAATATTAGCTGATATATTGACCAGGCAGATTTATTAGTTTAACTCTAATAAATACACCCTCAAGGTTGTGAAAAACAATAATAGTAAAGATATGCTAACAGCTATAGGGATGCCACTGCATTAGAAGAGTTCATTGATCATGTGATAGAAAAGTTTGGAAATAAAAAGTCAAAGAAATGAACATAATTATTAATTACATCATTAACAAATAATAAGAATTTTGTACGGTGCATTTTTGAAAGTGTACTCTCAAAGTCCTACTTAAGTTTTGTCCTGAAAACATTTTGTCTGTGCCTTAAACTCATCAAAACCCAGTGGGGATTATTGCTTCTATCAAATGGAATATGTTATTTTACCAGCAGATGGCAGCAAATCATTACAGGCTACAGCCACATTACCTGACTGCACTATAGGGAATCAAAAAATAACTGCCTCTGTAGAACCAAAGGAGTTGTCCTACTTTACACTCCCTGCCCATGATACTCTAGAGGACCTTCTTGACTGCATTATACAAATTTTTATAAATTCCTCGCAAAGGACATTTAAGTCATAAAGCATTAACTGCTGAATGTGGTGAAACCATATGGCTGTTAAAGTAGGTTGATTTAAAGTAGGCAGCTGTAAATCCTGTGCTCTACAACACATTTCTTCTTTAAAATACACTTGTCTGCATATTTATTAGAGTTGATTAATCTGCTTACTATTTTTTCGATTAATAGTTTGGTCTGTAAAATATCTGAAAAGTGAAAAAATGTCACAATTTCCTGAAGCTCTACGTGATATCTTCTGACATCTTGTTTCGTTCACCCAAAAGTCCAAAACCCAAAGATTATCACTTTATTATCACAGAAAGACAAGCAGCAAAATCTCACAACTGAGAAGCTGGATACACTGAATCTTTGGCATTTTTGCTCGAAAGGATTTATCAGTTTACATAATAGTTGCAGGATCATTTTCTGGCAGTCAACTAATCAGTTGTTTAAGCCCAGATTTGAGCATTTGTAATGGATTATGGGCATATTGTCCTAATTTTCTTTTTAAAACATTTTCAACGTTTTTTTTTTTTTTTTTTAAACTTCAACTACCCTGCATTTTTCAGTATTCCCCAGAGAACATTGAGGGACCAGGATGCACTGTTGACCCCAGTGAAGTCACCCTTCCTGGATGCTCCTGTCTTTACCACTCCTGCTGCACTGAGAGCTGCTCCTGCCTGCAGACTCATGGGCAGGCGTATGACAGCACCGGCACACTCCTGGACCGTACCCAAACAGACTCTGGTTACTGCTCACCTGTGTTTGAATGTAATGCCCTTTGCAGCTGCAGTGACACCTGCTCTAACCGTGTTGTCCAGAGAGGGCTGAGACTCAGGCTGGAGATTTATAGCACCAGGAACAGGGGTTGGGGATTACGGACACTAGAGGCAATCCCACATGGAACATTTGTATGCGAGTATGCAGGAGAGGTTATCAGTTTTGAGGAGGCCAGACGCAGACAGCTTACGCAGAGATCTGAAGAAAATAATTACATTATCGCTGTAAGGGAGCATGCAGGTACAGGCTCCATTATTGAGACATTCGTGGACCCGGCTGTGGTAGGAAATGTAGGCCGCTTTCTCAACCATTCCTGCCTGCCTAACCTGTTCATGCTGCCTGTCCGCGTGCACTCTGTGGTTCCTAGACTGGCACTGTTTGCTGGCCGGAACATTGATGCACACGAGGAGCTGACGTTTGACTACTCAGGAGGATACAGTAACCAACCACCCGTAGAGCTGCTGTCCACACAAAGTGACGCTGCCATAAAGGCCAGTAGGACAGATGGACTTCAGAGGAAACCATGTCATTGTGGTGCCAACAAGTGCGCACAGTTCCTTCCACTGGATTTATCTATTCTGAGCGGAAATAATCCTAAATAAATTTCAGATCACATTGTTTTTTTTTTTTTATCTGACCACCAAGAGATGGAATAATTTCTGAATGTTAGAGAAAAGATTTTGCCTTTTTCCTCCTGATTTTCTTTTGAAATTATGTCTATTTACTTATGTGTTGCTCTATTTTCAGTGTCCCCGAACTCTTAGCTCATTAGAACAAGACAATGCAACACGTTGGTGGCTCCATAAAAACAATCGGCTGGATGAGTCATGTCTGTGCTCGTCATTGTTTCCTGTTTAGTCCCCCCGGTGTCTCCTGATCTGCCACTGTCTTAATGATGTCTCCCACTCAGTGTAAAATGATGCAATGAAAACTAAATCTCAAGGCAAAGAAAAAAAAGTTTTATTTTTCTGTGAGACTAAACTTGTTGATACTACTGTCTGTTCTTTCACGTATAATCCATTTCAAGTATCAGGGGAGGCTTGTTCTGTGTCGGACGTGTCCCACTGGATTCACAGTCTTGCAGCTGTCATCTTGTCCTGGCACATATAACTCCCATTTCTCATGCAACACATAAATCTTGAAGGAGCAGGAGAATCTTTTGAACCAACAGACATGGAAGGAATGATGTTTAATAGGTTTCTTTTAATAGCAACATAGGTTACAGAATTGATCTGTACACCCTTACAGATGCCAAAGCTTTGTGCAAGAGAATATTTTGTCATTCTAAAAAGCAAAATTCAAAGTAATAACTGTCAACCATCTCCATCAACTTGACATTTCTTTTCTGTGTTCATGCGAAGCAGCCTCCCTATGTAGATATTCTCAGCATCTCATCGCACTCAAACCTCAAGAGGGTTGGGACCAATTAAAAAGGGCCAAGGGGTATTTTTATATAGAAACAGGCTTTATTCCCCTGTCAAAGGAGGGGCGAAGGTGTCCCACTTTAGTGTGACCATTCTTAAATCAGGACCTTCTCCTCTCAATCTGCCCCGTTTCTAGTCTAGACCTGCTTTCATCTTATTAATATCCACATCTGGGTTAATTAGGATGGAGACCGTGTTTCATCCAGAATTGGGATCAATGCTCCAGCCACACTGGGGCTGAGAGAGAGACTAAATGGTGGTGGTGGGGAGATGGAAGCCCTCTGCTGATCGGGGACTGCTGTCAAGTTGATTGGTTTTTGTGTCGCCCAATGGAGAGGCCAATGGCACAGGATGTTGTTGTACTGACCTATATTTTCTCCTCTGTGAGCGTTACCTGGGATTCTTTCTGTTCAAAATGGGCTGTTCTTTGCACCTGATGTGATCTAAACTAAAAAACGTAATAAAAAACAAACTTAAAGGAACAGTTTGGCATTTTTGGAAATATGTTCATTCATTTTCTTGCCATGAGTTTGATGAGAAGATCAATACCGCTCTCACGTCTGTATACTAAACATGAAGCTACACCCTGGAGCGTGTTAGCACAGAGACTTAAGAGCTGCCTACCATCGCTGATGAAGCTCACTAATTAACACTTTTTATCTCATTTTTTAAATCCACACAAAAGCATAAATGTAACCCTAACAACATACCGTTTTTTGAGAGGTTATGGTCTACTTCCTGGCCAGGCACAGTCACTTCCTCCACTGGTTGCCTGGCAATGTCACAGTGATAACAAGACTTCAGCAACAAATGACATATAACATGTTAATTATGGAGCTGTAGAGGTGCTGTCTTTTAACCTTTGAACAGAGCCTGGCTAGCTGTTTCCCTCTCTTTACATTTTTTATGCTAAGCTAAGCTAGTAACTTCTTATCAAAGGCTTAGACATTAGAGTGATTTTGATCTTCTCATCTAACTTTCAACAAGAAAGTGAATAAGAATATTTCCGAAACCTACTCATCAGATCCCAACTGAACATGATAGGACACATATGGCAGTAGAATAAGACACCAAAAACTAAAACTAAATTTAAAGACATTGCAAGGTGTATAATATACCTTCAGTTTGAGAGAAAGAATGGCCATAATAGCAGTAGAAAATATGGAGTTCTTATAATAGTTGCTAAGATACAGTATATTATCTGAACAATACTGTACAGTTATGTGGAGGAATGTGGCTGGATATTAGCTGTGTCCATGGCCTCGGAGGAAAGTAGGACACAATTATGTAGAGAAAAAATACCCAGGCGTTTCTCAAGCCAAAGGATAGAAATGTATAGAAAGTTTTGGATCAGGGTTTCTCACTGCCATCAGCTAAATCATGTATGCAACAGTCTCTGCTAACAGTAGATTCTATATTTAATTTGAAGATGAGAAGCCCTTAATCATTTCGATCTGTGGCCCTCTTTGTTGTCTTTGTGATAAATCAGATTCCACTGTCGTCTTAACAAATCTACTACAAGTATAAGAAAAAAACAGTCCCTCTTCAAATACATTACTCATGTCAATTTTGAGTCAGATGTCCCTGGAATCCCTATGGCAACTGTCTATGTGTACAGGGGGTGATTTGGACAGCAGTGGTTGGTTTGGAGGTGCATGAAGGCTGTTCTCACATCCTGACTGTTGAAGAGCCGGGCTGCGAATGAATGGCTCCTTTCCAGGATGGTCACCTAGCAACCACCAGTTAATCACATGAGGTGAACTTCCCCACTGAAACCCCCCGCCCTCCACAGAAAAACAAACATGTCTGACGATGCAGGGTACTGTTATGTCATGTTGTGACTGTATTTGGAGAGTAGCAACTGACTGTGTCTACCATCACAAAAAATATTTCACAGAAGAAAAATAAATAAATAAATACAATGGTTTTATAAGACTTCTGTCCTCAATATTTGATGGTATTGGGGTTATACTGTGTGCAAAGTGGCCTTAACTAGTACACAGAGCAAATCGTTTGAAAAGTTGCAATACCTTAATAAATATAGTAACGTGATGTTTCATACCAAAGTGACCAGAGCTTAGTGAGTTTTGATCATTTTAAGAGAGACCTGACCTAAATGTGTATTTCAAATGTATGTTAGCAACAGCTGTTTACTCACCAGTCTAGAATATTTGTTGCGAGTTGAGTATCAAAGTTCATTCCTTTACTCACAAAGCTTTTTCCGGTCGTGGACAGCAACCCTTTTGTTTTACATTTATGTCACCACTGCTTTTCTTCTACTGAAGTTGCATGCTAACCAGTTATCCCCAACCAGCCCAGTTGACCGGTCTCATCACTTTCTGATACCGGGTCACTGTAGCATCGAGTCTTCCATGAAAAAGTAGCACTGCTCAAAGATTGTATTTTAACCTCTTGTTGCAGTTCTCTTGTTGTAAACACAATGATGGTGGAAGTTCTCAGCAAGAGTGCTAAGTAAACTTAATGTCAACACTGGCTATGTAGCAATAGCAAGACTTACAGATAGATCCTTTAAGTTGAGTCGCTTCTAGTTGATATAAACATCACTTAGAGCAAGACTGAAAGAAGAAACAATACAAGGTAGTTCAACTCTTACAAAGTTGAACTAGCTAGCTAGTTGAAGTAGCTCATGGTAGCTAACCTTAGCTAATGTCAGCATGCTCTAGATTGTTATTGCTGTTTAACTGAAATTATTTAATCAGCTCTTAGACCTTATGACTGGCTAGCTGTTTCCCAATTTTTCATTCTTTATGCTAAGCTAAGCTAACTGGCTGCTTGCTCCAGCTGCATATTTACAGTACAGATGTGAGAGTGGTACCATCTTCACATCTAACCCTAGTGAGAAGTTTCCCAAAATATCGAACCAAAAACAATGAAGGGAAAAACAGCAAATGTTATAGTCTCACTTTAATAACAGATTTTTATTCTCATAAATAGGCTGTGTTCTCATCATGGTATATTGCGGCCCCACTTTGATTTAGGCAGATGAGGCTTTTATTCAAATGTCTTGCCATAGCTTGAAAGGACAAAAGATACAAAGATACAACTTATACTTATGAGAGCCATGCATCACATTGATGAAGGAGTGAGACACTATTTCAGGGTGATTGACCAGTGGAGAAATTACAACTGGCAGTCCATTTGTTCAAAATTGGAGCAACTCTCTGATGAGGGAGCAGATGTCCTTGCCTTGAATCCTGCAGCCAAATCAAAAAAAAAGAAAAAAAAGAAAAGAAAAGCACCTATCTGCCAGGTCTCAGCTGGCAAAGGCATTTCAAAGTCCAATTTCAAACATTTCATGTGACTCTTTGCTGTGGTGTTGGCTAATATTGGTACAAGTGACGGCCTATTTAGACAAATTGAAGTAACAACAGTCAGTGTTTGTACACTATGAAAAAACTAGAACTTTATTGTCTTGTAGCAGAATCTCTTCAACTTAATCAATGTATAAATCAGTTGTTTCTTTGAACATGATGGTACATTTTCAGTTGTTTGTTCCTGCTTGTGATGTATTGACTACATATCAAGAGATTAAACAGCTTTGAAGCCAGGTTATTAAATTGCTCAGTCACCAGAAAATAGTCAAACTGCTACACCACCAAAGTAAAGTCTGTCAAAATAAGTGATCTACAGAAGAGAACAGAACTCAAAGCTTTCTTAGAAATGTATGTGACTCATCATTCACCAACATGTTAGATGTGATTTCTTTCTCTTTTTTCTTTTTTTTCTTTTTTTTTACTATATTCAGCTCTGTTCCCACAGTGTGTATAATGGAGTAGATTGTATTGTGTAGCTTCACTTCAACATTAAAGGGAATGTCAATGGGGTTTTTCACATTGACTCCTCCCATCACAGATGTTAAGTTAAATTTGGCCCAGGACACCTGCAGTGGGCTCAGCAGGAAGTTATAAGCCCAGGAATTACCCGCCTCCATCGACGCTCTCACCACAGATCAGACCTGCACATACATACACCTACGCTACGTTTACAGCGCACAGATTCTTAACTAAGCAGTTTTGGAGTTTACACCTGCAGTCTTCAGTGTGCTTGAGAGAGGTTGAGTGGAATTTAGAAGCAATATTTTTAAGATGTAAATAAAAGGGAAACCCTGAACCCAACCCCTAAAAATGAATACAAGGTATTATTTTCTTAAGAGCCTGGTAATTATGGGTGTAATCATAACCCAAGATATTTCCACAATTGATTTAATCACTGTCATTATTTCCCACTGCTATCACAATCTTGCATAATGACCCATTCTGGTCCCTTTGAGTCTAAGTGCTTGGTGCAGCTTGTTATGTACTTGACATCATGGTTACAATTGTGGAAGACACTTACTGCTCATGCCAGACTAAGACTAATCATATGTCTCAGTCTGACATGTGAGCTATTACACGTCAGGATTTTTAAACCTTGTGCACCAGCTCACTGACAAATAGTCGATCCCAAGTGTTTCTGTGCAAGATAAGCTGTGACAATCCCATTACCAATCCTGTCTCACCTTTGCAACATCCAGCAGGCTTTGTGTACATTGTGGAGATATTCACTGTAAGTTAATGAAAACAAAGCAGCTACAATTTATTCTGCGCAAAAGTTAAATTTTGTTATTGCCATGTATTTTATCATTGCCATTAATTGTTCCTCTTCATGTTATTTTATTTGTGCCTTTACTAGGCTTCTGATGTTATTTTACTCACTGTTGTTGTGCCTTTAACTACACTTTGTACATCTCTTGGGTCACCTAAACATGCTCTATAAATAAACTGGATTTATTTGATTTAATGAACACTTCATTACATATGTACACAGGTTGATTTAGGTGACCAGGTAGGTCATAACATGTAGTGAAAGTGAGGCTAGGAGTCCTCCCATCCTACTGATCCTAATGGATTACCTGCAGTTAAAGCAGCTTACAGGGCATGTTCTGCAGGTTAAATAGGTGACGAAAGACCACTGCCTTCTTGGATATTGTTCTCCTTCAGCAGAGCAACTGTGTGTGCAAAAATCTACTCAACTTATATCTGTCTCTGCAAATCAAACACCTGCCAGATAATTTCCCCTAGCATATGTGTATGGTCTGGCATATTGATTATGCTGTAACCAAGGGGATGTGGTGAAGCGATCCACGGCCCTGTGAACAGCGTTTATGAAGAGGGGGCTAGCTGAATGTAGCTGGGTATTTGTTCACTTTTGTTTTCTATAGAGAGCCTGTTATAAGAGCTTTACAGAAAATTAAATTTGAAAAACAGGAACTCAAATGTTATTGTTATCACTCTCATCACCCACAGAGAGACTGCCATACAACGTCGGACAGAATCAAAGATGCAGCTCTGAATATGAAGCTTATTTTTCATGCACCCGTAACAAGTTATAGCACAAAATCACAAGGCCTAATTAGAATATCTCTGCAGCTGGTCTAATCAGACTATTTCCACTGGGGATATGCAGGTCATTATACCAGCATAATTGT